ACTTATTTCTTATTTCAAAGAAATGGCTCGTGTATTGCAAAGACTCAAACCCAAACCCAAACCCACTGTCATTGAGTTGATTCTGACTCATAGTGACCCCCATTGGGTTTCCAAGGTGGTAAACCTTTATGGAAGTAGATTGCCCCATCTTCCTTCCATGGAGTGACTGGCGGGTTTGAACCACCAGCATCCTGGTTGGCAGTCAAATGCCTTAGACACTGGTCCACCAAAGCAAGCAAGTCTCAGATCAATGGGCCAGAGGACAGGCATCAGGCTGGAAGCTTCTCCTGACTCACATGGTGGCAGGGGCTGATGAACTCCAAATTGGCAGTGGTGTTTCCTGCACATAGGTGGTACCTCTGCTCCTTGTTGTTAAGTGCTGTTGAGTCATTTTCTACTCATAGTGACCCCATGTGACAGAGTAGAACTGCCCCATAGGGTTTTCTAGGCTATCATCTTTATGGGTGCAGATTGCCAGGTTTTTCTTCCACAAAGCCACTGAGTGGGTTCAAAGCCAACCTTTCAGTTAGCAGTCAAGTGCTTTAACCATCATACCACCAGGGCTCCCTTGTTCCTTTTCACCCCTCTTACATTACTGAAATTCCTCTTCATCAGTGGAAATCCTCCTGTCCTTTAAAATCTAGGTTAGGCTCCGCCCATTTATGAGGTCTTCCTGTAAATGGCTCCCCCTATTGCCCTCTTTGAGCACTCAGCACTATTGTTCCCTATATTTTTCTTGTGTTTACATGCCATCTCACCAAACTGGAACTCTGCGTTCTTTATTTCTCAACAGCTTCAGCATGTGGCTTCAAGCACACAATACTTTTAATAGCTAGCAGTTGATTCAGTAGTTGATTCCAATTGCAACATGACTATGTTCAAGCAAGAGGGACAAGTCACTTGCAAGGAGCCCATGATTACACTTATTCTGGGGTCCTTGTATGTTGGTCAGAGAGAAGTTCTGATGGTGCAGTGGTAAATAAAGTACTTAGTTGCTAAGCAAAAAGTGAGCAGTTCGAACCCACCAGCCACTCTGTAGGAAGATGTGGCAGTCTGCTTCTCTAAAGTTTGTTGTTGTTGTTGTTATGTGCTGTTCCATTGGCCCTGACTCATAGGGACCCCTTCTTGAGTTTCCTAGGTGGTATCACTACGGAAGTAGATTGCCCAACTTTCCTTCTGAGGAGTGGCTGCTGGGTTTGAGCCTCCAGCCTTCTGGTTAGCAGTCAAGTGCTTTACGCACTATGCTCAGCCTTAGAAACCCTGTGAAGCAGTTTTACTCTGTTCTACAGGGTCACTATGACTTTGTATCAACTCAACAGCAATGGCCTTGTACTATGTTCAAAGACTTGGGACCTCCCCTGACATTACCAGGTGGGCTGGAATCCTGTGCTTTACACAGATAAGTCTATGGTGCATAGTAGGGGGTAGGGGCAGCCCCAAAGCTGCTTAACTCTGCTTTCTGTCTCTCTCTAGGAAGGTATGTCTTCTCTCATTGCTGCTTGTTGGCCTCTGGGGCTGTGCAACCTGCCACTGGAACCCTGTGGGGGACATCTGTACAGCCAAGCCCCGGGACATTCCAGTGAATCCCATGTGCATTTACCGCTCACCAGAGAAGAAGGCAGCTGAGGAGGAAGTCCCAGAGCAGAAGATCCCTGGGGCTACCAACCGGAGAGTGTGGGAACTGTCCAAAGCCAACTCTCGTTTTGCCACTGCCTTCTATCAACACCTGGCCGACTCCAAGAATGACAATGACAACATTTTTCTGTCACCCCTGAGTATCTCCACAGCTTTCGCTATGACTAAACTGGGTGCCTGTGACAATACCCTCAAGCAGCTGATGGAGGTACAGTCTAAGGCCCTTCTGTCCAGCCTTTGTGCTGGGACCACCTTTCAGGGTTCTATAGGACCAGTGGTTTCTAACCCAACACTAAAGTTCACTGGGGAGCTCATTACTGGCTGTGATTCCCTCTGAAACTCTATTAATTTACTTATTTAAATTTTTTAAATAAGGTAAGGAATTATCACCTGGATGTCTTAGTTCCATCTTTGGAGCTACCTTAAAGTAAGGGAAGGCCTGTGTTTCTTCCTACTTTTCTTCTTAATCATTCTTTCACTTAGATGTTTATTCATTCATTTGGTCATTTATATGTTTATTCATTCAACACCTCCCTGTGCCAGGCAATGTGCTGGGTGGTAGGGATTCCCAATTCCTGTCCTAGAGGAGCCGACCATCTAGTGAGCTCAGGCATACTGGCTCTTGGACATGAGGATTCTAGGTCCATATGCTGAGATCTGGGGTTCAGGGAAGCCAAGAGAAGCCTCAAGGATTTAAGAGCCTTTTCTGGCTCTGTGCGGTACTGATCATTTCCAGGTAGTGACTTAACTTCTGCCATTTATGTGAGGGGGAATTTGACCAAGAAAGGAAGAAAAGTCATGGATAAAGCAGCCAGTGATTGCACTATACTAAGTCATAGAAATACTACATCATTAATCTGTCCTTGGCTTGGATTCCTGGCTGGCCTTCTTTAGGTTGAATTATAAATTAGAAGCAAAGATAATCAACAGGGAGGCACAATGACCTCTCTATACCTCAGCATAGTACAGTGTTTACTTGAATCCCAGACACTAGAGTCTGTGGATCTTAGGAGGGTTTGTCTCTATTCTAGTGGCCAGATTTCTGCTGAACTTTCATCACCTCTTTTCAGCCCTCTGGCACAGGTTAACCCAAGCCTTTGCTCCACAGAAAAAATTTTGCTTTAGAGACAACTCTTAAGAGACAAACTACTGCCTTCCTTTTTTTCAGAACTTTCAGTAAACTACATATACATTGGTATTAATTTCAAAGGTCTTCCATATCCTCAATGTCTCTGTTCTCAAGAAAGATCTTAAATGTGACCCTTGCTATAAGAAAAGCAGAAGCAGAACACTGTTTCCAAAGTAAGCATGTCCTGTAGGTCCTCCTCTCCTGTGAAAGAGATTAACAAGACACTATATGTTGGAAGGGAGCTCTGGTGGTGTAGTGCCTAAGGCATTTGACTGCTAACCAGAAGGCTGGTGGTTTAAACCTACCAGCCCCTCCTCAGAAGGAAGATTGGGCACTCTACTTCCGTAGTGATATTGCCTCGGAAATCTGAGGAGGGTTCGTTATGAGTTGGATCCAATTCAACAGCAGTGAGTTTATATGTTGAAAAAGTAGGGTAAGAGTGGGAAGGAAAAGAGAAACACAGCACCAAGCTTTTGGGGAAAAGACATCATCCCAAAGGAAGTACAAACTGAAGGAAAATTGGGAAAATCAAAAGCAGAGAATAGGTAAGGCCAAACGATCTCCTTTTCCTAAGAAGAGTGTGTGGCAGGGAGAGGAAAGAGTAGCTTCATGCATTTTGCCTTGGCGCTGCTGATGGTGGGAGACTGGGGTATGACAGTTTCATGTGGCAGTGACTGGTAGAGATTAAATTTAAATTCTTTTCAACCCTGAAAGTTTTTGAGTCTAGCACTGTTTAATCCTTTACTGATGGAATAACCTTTGTCTTTCTCGTCCCTACCACCAGCATTCCAGAGCCCATCAGAGGTGGCCCCAGTCTGTAGCCTGGAAGCATTTGTTTCTAGACAGGACACTGTTGTTGCCTTCTCTGCTCAGAACTACCAACACTACTTTTCTCATTCCAGAAAAGAAAATCTGGGTGTTGATGTAGAACCCTTTAGGGGCTTCAGGTGGTATCCCACACTCTTTTTCCCTTTCTCTATTTATTCATTTAAAAAACATGAGCTGAGCATTAACGCTGTGCCTTGCACTATGCTCAGAAGGGCTCACAACTGAGGTGGCTGTAGATTAGGTAGTAACTGGCAATATAGTTACCACCCATATTAGCCAGGCTGCCCCATACCCATCACTGTTTTTGTTTGGCTTCTATAGGTGTTTAAGTTTGATACCATCTCTGAGAAAACGTCTGATCAGGTACACTTCTTCTTTGCCAAACTGAACTGCCGACTCTATCGAAAAGCCAACAAATCCTCTGAGTTGGTATCTGCCAACCGCCTTTTTGGAGACAAATCCCTCACCTTCAATGAAACCTACCAGGACATCAGTGAGGTGCTATATGGAGCCAAACTCCAGCCCCTGGACTTCAAGGTGAGTTGTAGATATCATTCCTGATCTCAGAGTTCTTCACCCCACTCAGAGATTGAGGAGGTGGAAAAGCAGGGTCCAAATGAACACTGCTGTAGTGAGGGCTGGTGGAGGGGGAAACTGTAAGTCACAGCCCCTGGAATACTTAGTCTTATTTGAAACCTGAGAAAGCAATCGTATCTCTATCTTAGATTTGGTAAAGGGTCAGCAAAAATGACAAAAACCCTCAGTGAGATGGCTTGACACAATAGCCTCAATGATGGACTCACATATATCAAACATCATAGAGATGAAGCAAAAGTAGGCGATGTTTTGTTCTATTATACACAAGGTTGCCATGAGTCAGAACCAATTCAATGGCACTTAACATGGCTTAGATTGCAATGGTTGCGCTGAAAGTTAAATAATGAATTCTCCTTTTCACCCACAAAATTCAAACATACATTGAAGAGCATTCTGAGAATGCCAGTCTTACAAATAATTTAAAAAGCTACCATGACTGATGATAGAGCCTGGTGAGACCCCTAAAACTGAGGCCTCTAGTTACGCTTCAGGTCTGGAACCAAACTCACTCCTGTGGCCTCCAGCCAAACAATAGACAGGCATATGGGGTGAACATTTACATCAGGTAAATACACTCCTTAGAGCAATCAATCATGGGAGAACAGAAGGGCAGTGTTTGCACAGGGAGACAGCTGGGGGTGAGGGAGAGTACAAGGGAGGGAAGAACACAGAGAAGAGGTAATTATGGAGAGGAAGTGGAGAGACAGCTGTTACACTGTGAGGAATTGCAGTCAATGTCATGAGACAAAATGTGTTTGAAATGCTATATGGAAAATTATTTTCCTCCATAAACTTTCGCCCAAATCACACACACACACACACACACACACACAAACTACCATGACCCTATAAAACTGGTATATGCTGCATTTTTATTTTTCTCTTTAAGATTCACAAAGTACATGAGCTCAGTAAGTGTTCTGAGAAGTCCTGCAATAAAGAAACCTGTTGACTTTATTCAAACGATAAGCATTTCCCAAACTTATTTGACCATATGGGTCTTCACCCCACCCTATCACTCATTAGCTTCCTACAGAGTATGTTTTGAAATCCCTACTCCAGTGAGTTGAGGTTTTCCAAAGTCACAGAAGATAATAATTTGTTTTCCTCAGACCATTTTCTCCTTTCTTCTATTCTGTTCCTTTATGTATTTCAATTTCTCTTTCTTTTCTTTTGCTTCTCTTTCTTCTGTTAATATTTATGAACTATTTGGAAGATTCATGGCACACTAGTTATGTGAGGTTCTCTCGGTCTGGTTTCTTAACCCAATGGTTGGAAAGGGCAGAGGGCTGATGAGCATAATAAAATGCTGCATGGGTAAGTGGAGAAGCTGACTGGGTAGCACAGGTGAAGAGGTTTGTTTTCTGTCCTCCTCAGGGAAATGCAGAGCAGTCCAGAGTGACCATCAACAACTGGGTGGCCAACAAGACCGAAGGACGTATCACTGACGTCATTCCCCCAGAAGCCATCAATGAGCTTACTGTCCTGGTGCTGGTTAACACTATTTACTTCAAGGTACTCAAAACGGCCTAGAGATCCTTGGGATTGCAGTGGCTCCCAGCCACTTTCTTTCATACATACCGCTGTGTTTATGTAGATAGATCCTTTCTGAGAAATCGTTCATGCATGATCTGGCCTGAGAACCCAGAACATTTAGAGCTGTGGCTCCCTGGACCCTGGTAGAGTGCAGAGTGTTCATACTCACAAGTCAGCACACTCTCCTACAAGGTGTGTGTGGTGATAAACTCTCATATGTATGTGAAAATTTCTGCTGTCTGGTTAACTCTTTGACATTTATAACAAAATGACAAGTCTATTTGCAATCCTGAGATGTTGTCCATTATCTGGAGCAGCTTGTACAGGAACTCAAAAGTCCCCCTGTCCTGAAGCTTCTGAACCTCCAGGGTTTCCTCCAACTTAGCAGAGACCTGTTATGTGACCATGCAGAGAGCCTAGTTTTCCTCAGAGTCAAGAGTTCTAAAGGCTCTTCCAACTTGATTATCATCTGGGAAGGAAGATAAGGAGAGGGTGGTGGGAATAAACAAATCATTGACACTCAAGAGGGCTCCAGTTTAAGGCAGATGGGAAGTATGACCCCTCTGCCCATCCTGAGACATGCTCCATCTTCCTTCCTCCTACAGACCCCAGGGCTTTAGTCAGTCACTACTGTCATCAATTACCCTGTCTCTTGGGCTTTCCCATTCCTCAGGAATGGAGTAGGTGACATTTCCACAATTTTGTGTTTTCCTTTAGTTTAGAGAACACTTTGGCACTTATTAGTCCTCTTGCTCCTCACAACTGCACAAGTGAGATCGTGGGCCCCTCAGACTGATTACCTAATTTACATCCTGACTCTTCCATTCTTGACTGTGTACCCTTGGGATAAGTTACCTGAGACTTTTCTATGCATTTTCTGCATCTATAAAATAGTGATAATGATAAGACTACCTTGGAGGGTTGCTGAGAAGATTGAATAAATTATTGCAAGTGAAATGCTTAGAACAATACCTGGCACACAGAAAGAACTCTAAAAATATTAGCTATCACCAGTTTCTACTTTTACAGATGAAGAACCATCCTACATAAGACTTAAATGATTTGTTTCAAAATTAAAAAGCTGTAAAGTAATAAATTATAATTACAACTTTGAGATTCAAAGGGGTGTCTTTTATCTTAGGGTCCCTCCCACTCTGAACGGGAAGACAGCCAGGAGTCACCCTCTGCCCAAGAGGGCCTCCAGACTTCCTAAGACTGTCGTCTGTGTCTGGCCTTTATTCATCTGGGGGACTCTGGAGATTGGCCCTTGGGGAAGGGGCTGATGGGAGGCAGAAAGCAAAAGGCAAATAGACTTGAGAAGAGACTTGCAGGTTCTTCTTTATAGTTTTTATTTTTTTAATTATAAAAGCAAACAGTCACTATTGAAAATCTGGAAAATACATAAAAGTACACAAATTTAAAAAATCATTCATAGCTGTATCATTCTGATAGTCATTGTTAATTTTTGTATATATCCTTTCCATCTTTATTCATCTATCTATATGTAATAACATAATGTGAATATTCCCCACATCCATAAATATTCTCATGTAGATGCTTCTGTTCTTTCTTTGTAATTCTCCCACCTGCTTCTTCCAGGGCCTATGGAAGTCAAAGTTCAGCCCTGAGAACACAAGGAAGGAACTGTTTTACAAGGCTGATGGAGAGTCATGTTCAGTATCTATGATGTACCAGGAAGGCAAGTTCCGCTATCGGCGTGTGGCAGAAGGCACCCAGGTGCTCGAGTTGCCCTTCAAGGGTGATGATATCACCATGGTCCTCATCCTGCCCAAGACTGAGAAGAGCCTGGCCAAGGTAGAGCAGGAACTCACCCCAGAGGTGCAGCAAGAGTGGCTAGATGAGCTGGAGGAGATGGTGCTGGTGGTCCACATGCCCCGCTTCCGCATTGAGGACAGCTTCAGTGTGAAGGAGCAGATGCAAGACATGGGCCTTGTGGACTTGTTCAGTCCTGAAAAGGCCAAGCTCCCAGGTTAGTACAGGAAGGACTTTCCTGCTCTCTCTGCCCCCAGGGTGGTCTGACCAAAGGTGGAAGAGTTGGAGAATAAAGAGCAGAAAAGAGCAATGAGTCAGGACACCCGAATTCTAACCACACTTATACCACTAACTTGCAGGAATCCCTTCTCTCAAGACCTCAGTTTCTGTCTCGGTAAAAGGGAAAAGTTGCTCTAGGATTGACACAGGCCCAACCAGCACTGATGCCCTTTGAGTCTGATAGAGTCTGACAGAGGAGATGCAACTAGGTGGAGAGGAATTTGAGAAGGCATTAGAATGCAGAGTAGAGACAGAGAAGAGCTGGGGACATCTGGGTACCTCAAAACAGGTAAAGCTGACACTTCATAAGCTCTTCGCCCATATGCGTCCTTAAGGCCACTTGGACAGAAACATCTAACCTTTTCCAAGTTGTGATTACTTCAGTAATGGTACTTAGTGGGTTTGGTGCTTCCAACCCAAAATCTCTTAAAAATATCCATTAAAACAGCTTTTTTTAAAAGAAGTTTACAACGTTAGTTTACCTTTACTGGAGTGCTTTAAACTAGATCTGAAAACTTATATCTCTCATAAAAATGTTACCAGACTTTAAGAGTAGAAAGATAATTCCACTATATGGCATAAGTTTTTTTTTTTTTTTTTTTTTTTCTAGTAGAGAGTCCCTCCACAAAAGCTGAAGCATGAGAGTAAATTCACAGGTTGTTGTTATGTGCCGTGGAGTCGGCCCCCCTTCTTGGGTTTCCGAGGCGGTATCACTACGGAAGTAGATTGCCCCATCTTCCTTCCGAGAAGTGGCTGGTGGGTTTGAACCACCAGCCTTCTGGTCAGCAGTCAAGTTCCTTAGGCACTATGCTACCAGAGCTCCAAATTCACAGAAGTCAGGCTTAATGTTAACCCAGAGTACTTTATTTTTAGCAGATGTTGATATTTTGAGAGTGTAATTAGGTGATGGTCCAGGATTTCTTCCTATTTTTCACAAAAGCCCAAATGGACCTCTTGATTCAAATGGAATTCCTTTCTCTGGGGTGAAGCCAACTTTCTCCCATTTCACTGAGGCTTCTCTGCTCTTTTTCCAGGTATTGTTGCAGAAGGCCGGAAAGATCTCTATGTATCAGATGCATTCCATAAAGCATTTCTTGAGGTAAGTGCACCTTTGCTCTTTCTTCCTATGCTACTTTCCTGCCACTTTATCATTCAACACATCAATATCTTGTGTAATTTTTAACTTTGGAGTTCCTGATCCACAGACTTTATGGTATAAGATAGCAGACACATGAACAGGAGATGCAACTATGGGAAAGGCTTATATCCGTGTCAATTAATCCCCAAATCTGTAGCCCCCTATTTCCTGAGACCTGAGGTAGAACCACCCTCCCCTGATACCTCTGTAGTCTATTTAGCCTACACTCTCTCCTCCCATGTGTCCTGCAGCAAGTCAAGCACATAGAATAGGAAGATTACTGGTTGGGCCTAGATCCCTGGGCAACACCAATATTTTGGGGAAAGTGACACAGAGAAAAAGGAGGTAGTAAGGGCCACCGAGAAAGACTGCAGAGGAGGAGGAGAACCAGAATAATATGGGCTCAAAAAATTCAAAGTTTTAAGAAAACGGGAAGCATCTAGTACAAAGACTGAAAAGTAACCACAGGCTACCATTCCTTGAGGAATTTGTTAAGTATAGCGGGTCACATGCCTAACTGTAATGGTTGAAGAGTGAATGGAAGGTAATGAAGAAGAGGTAGTGAATGCATCATTGTCCTAATGTGTGTTCCAGAGAGCTAATACACTAGACTACACAGCAGAAAACAGAAAGTTAGGTGGTTAAATAAATCTGTATCCTCTTCTCAAGGTTGGGCAATCCTACTTCCGTAGTGATACTGCCTCGGAAACCCAAGGAGGGGTCGCTATGAGTTGGGGCCGACTCGACGGCACACAACAACAACAACAACAACAACATATCCTCTTCTTAGAAGATTAACAATGCACTGGTGTGTCGAGGTCTGAGAGATCCTATAAACCAAAACCAAAGCTACTGCCATCAAGTTGATTCTGACTCATAGCAACACTTGTTGGGTCGCCAAGGCTGTAAATCTTTAGAAAGTAGACTACCTCATCTTCCTTCTGTGGAGCTGCTGGTGAGTTTGAACTGGCCAACCTTTTGGTTAGCAGTCAAATGCCCTGACCATTACACCACCAGAGCTCCTTGAGAGATCCTATAGTGAAGAAAAACATCAAATACTGCTAAACCTAGTATATCCCATGGTATCCTTTGTTGGAGTAATAGCTATGTACAGCCTGTGGAATTTCTGGCTCACAAACAAAATATAGAACTCTGGACCAGCAGTATTAGTCATTTGGGAAGCCTGACCTTTGGAGATTCTGGGGTGAGGCCTAAGAATCTGTATATTTACAGAGCTCCTCAGGGAATTGTGATGCACAACTAGGTTTGGGAACCACAAGAATAGACTATTCTTTGAGGGGATCAGGCTGTGAAGGAAGAAGGTAGGCCAGTGTTAGAAGGGGTCATTAAAAAAATCAAACCCATTGTCACTGAGTCAAGTCTGACTTGACCACCATTAGGTTTCTAAGGCTGTAAATCTTTACAGGAGTCAATTTCCTCATTTTCCCCCTGCACAGCAACTGGTGGGTTGAACCATTGACCTTATGGTTAGCAGCCAAATGCCTTACCCACTACACCACTAGAGGGCCTTAGAAGAAGCCATAGGACTAAGGAAATTAGAAAGGTGGCCAAAGAGAAAGGTTTCAGAGCATGGTGCTAAAGTGTAGTCCCAGAGTCCAAACTTAGTAGATGTGTGGTTAGGAGGAAATGAGAGGGATCAAGGGACAGGAAGAGGTCAGATTAATTTAATGGGAGTGAGGAAATATAATAGCTTGAAAAATAGAGGGTTACAGTCTGAGGGAAGGATACAATTATAATTTCAAGAGCAGTTCTAAGAGACACAAGTCCAAGGCACAGCCATGGGTCTGCTTTGCTTAAGTGGAGTGAAGGTAATGGTTACTGGGTTTAATGAGATGAAATAAATGAGAGATTAGGGTGTTGAATGGGTCTCCTACGAAGATGCTGCAATTGTCCAGGTTGAATATGGCAGAAATTGGGGTGGAAAGGAAGGTGAGGTGCCAAAACTCTCAATGTGGGGATATAACCTGTAGGACAATAGATGGTAGCAATGTGTAGTACAACAATCTATAGGGTATTATGGTTAAAATAAGGGATTTTACATGAATGGATTAATGGTTTTGGAAATAAAAATGATATAGTTGACACTTCCTTTCATAAAGACATGGAAGAAAAAATACTCAAGAACACTACAAAATAGGCTGAGTCCTCAAGAGTTTTAACTATCATTGAAAATGCTGAGTGGTCAGCTCAGATTTCTTGTGGGCTTTGAGGTACTATTAGGAAGAAGCAGAGGTCTGGATTCATTTTAGCCAACATAAACACATAATAATAACCTAAGGTTCCTCCACGGACCTTGGAAAAAAGCTGTTTTTCTTGAAAATCTTGAGAACTCAATACATGAGACCTGAATTGATTGTAGGTCTCTGGGAAACCTTTACAAATCAGATCCTGGTTTGAATAAAAGGATCCTGGTCACATGAGGATCCTTTTATCCAAACCAGGATCTGATTTGTAAAGGTTTCCCAGAGATCTACAACCAATAGGGGTCGCAGGTATGGAGTTCTCAAAGGATCTCTGATGGCAAAGTGCCTGTGGTATCTGACTCCTTAAGCAGAAGGCTGGTGGTTCAAACCCACCAGCCACTCCTGGGAAGGAAGACTGGGCAATCTACTTCCATGAAGATACAGCCTCAGAGACCCAAGGAGGGGTTGCTATGGGTTGTAACCAACTGCAAGGCAGCAAGTTTTTTTTTTTTTTTTTCTTTTCCTCATGTGAAACCTCTAAAATGATCATAAAATAGGTAGTATGAGTGGGGAGGCAGAAGTAAGGAAGTGAAGAAAAGTGAAAAGCAGTGAGAGAGAGACAGAACATGATCAACCAGCTCCCCTAAACTCAGAGATCAGAAGTACTTTCACTTGAGACACGGGCAGAATTTAGGGCCCCAAGCAAAATTTTCTTAAGCTCTCTCTCTTTCTAGAACTGTGGTGACTCTGCCCAGTCTTCCTTTTGAGGTAGTGGGTTGAACTGCCAGCCTTCTGGTTAGCAGTCAAATGCCTTAGGCACTACGCCACCAGAACTCCCACTCTGCTTATTACCCAAGTTCAAATACCATTGTTCCACCTCCCAGCCAGTCCTTGGAAGGAAGATTGGGCAATCTACTTCCATAGTGATACCGCCTTGGAAACCCAAGGAGGGGTCGCTATGAGTTGGATCCGATTCCATGGCAGTTGAGTTTGGTTTGGTTTGGTTGAGTCTGCTGTTCTAAGAAATATTTATCTCATACAGCCAGAGGACCTTTCTCTTCATAAGTCCTAGGTGCTTAGCAGTTGCTGTAGGGTAGTGACAGCTGAGATCCTGAGGCTCCAAGAGTAAAACTATCTCATCTATGGAGCTCTGATTTTGAGTTAAAATCATTTAGCAGCTGGTACAAAATAAGCTTCCTGTAACACCATTACAATGGTGTCAGCCAGAAATGTAGCAAACTTGTCCATATCAAGATTTCCCATTCAGGGGTTATCTGAATAGGACCCTTGTACTTATCTAGCACAGGGTTATGACTAACACAAGTGCTTTCAGCAATTCACCGGATGAAGAAAGGAGTAAAAGTAGGGTCCTGGCAGGGCCCCAACCTGACCCAACTACTTTCTACTGGAAAACAAACAGCATTTTGACAAACGGTTGTGTCTGTGAGTGATTTACTTGCCTATAATGAACAGCAGAGTAGCTAACGTATCGGTTTTGTCTCCTACGTGACCGACAGGTAAATGAGGAAGGCAGTGAAGCAGCAGCGAGCACCGTCATCGGGATTGCTGGCCGTTCGCTGAACCCCCACAGGGTGACTTTCAAGGCCAACAGGCCCTTTCTGGTTCTTATAAGGGAAGTTGCTTTGAACACTATTATCTTCATGGGCAGAGTAGCCAATCCTTGTGTTAACTAAAGTGGTCTTATTTTTTGCACTTATTGCTATTTTGGTTTGTGTAAAATAGAAGTAAAAATAAATAAAACTACTTCCATCTCATAATTATGAACAGGTATTGCTGCCCGACACAAAATAATTTGGAGAAAAAAGAATGGAGATACTATTGTAGCATTTGGTAAAATGGTAATTCAATTGTTCTCTAACCAATGAGAATGTGGGTCAAGAAAATGAAGGCAGGAGATATGTCACTGCTTCACCCTGAAAGATACCAAGCATCTTGAAAGGGCAGGGGGAGCTTGAATTTTCAGTATTCCCATCACACTTCAAACATATTAATCTTTAGGTACAGAATAGAGATTCAAATCTGAGTATTAAACCATTTAATTCTCAAACCACTCACATGCATAATGTTCTTTTACACAGTGTTAAAATAAAGAGGAAAATGCATTTTTTTATACAAACAGAATTTCAAGTATACATTAATAGACTTTTCAGATTACTAACCAAGTTGCTAAGATTTCATTCACATTGTTTTTAAAGCTGTTCAACGAGAAAGCTTTGCTAAACTGCTTTAAATGTTTATATAAATCTGTATCTTCACTCTTTCTTTGAATCTCCCTCCCCCAACCCCAGTTCTCTGCCCTCCCCCCTCCCCCGACACAACAGGGCTCCTGGGGCTCTAGGAGACATGCAACCCCATCAAGAACTATTGGCTTTTGTCACCAGGGGAAGGACAGAATCTACAGGAGGAGAGACTGAGAACATCTGTCAAATTAAGGGAGAGAACAAATCTGACATTCAGAAATGACACAATCAGGATCATAACATGTAGCCTTTGTGTTTTCACTTGACTTCCTTTATCAAGACGATTCCAACAGCCTCCCACAAAACAACTCAGAAGTTTCTGACAATTTAGTAGCTGAGAAAACTACACTTAACATTGGGTATTTTGCCCAGTGAAACTTGCAAAATTAGGGTAGGCATTTTGAAAACGCTTTTTCATTTTGGTTGTTTCTTTTTCCCTCTGGCACAGGGTGAGGGGAGTTTTAAAATTTTTGTTATTATTTATATGTTCACATTAAGGAATTTGCTAATTTTACATGGTCTGGCAAGAGTTCTCTTTCGTTAACTCTCCTCCTGAAGTAATCTGGCTTCAGGGCAGGAAAAGCCAGTCTTTTTTTTTTTTTTTTTTAGGAATTAAAGTGCATTTTTTCAGAAAAGGAAGTGGGAGAAAGTGATAATGATGGGGGGGGGGGAGAAGAAAATCCTATTTGTATATATAGGTATTTATAGTTAAGGTCATAATAAAACATATTCTCTAAGGAAGTAAGATGCACAAACCCAGTCCAGCCCCTTCAGTGGTACAAGAGTGCTACACTGGCTCACTGATTTTTGTGATGCATCTTTATTAATGGAGTAATTGCTTCAGAAGAAAGTTACAAACCTTAAAAGTTAATTTTTTTAAAGGGAAAAACAGACTGGCAAAAGTTCTACCAGTTAAAAATACTCTATCCCATTCCCTTTCAGGGATGACAACATTTTAGAAATTGATTGTCTGTTTCAATACGAAACCTTCTGGGTTAGCAAATTGTGAAAAAATGTTGTTGGATCAGTTTGTTGCTTACAAATATTTTGCCATTAAAAACTGAAGAAGAGGTGGCACAACTGATCCTCGCTATCAGTTAGTACCTGCTTAGGGAACTGGAATTTTCCTATGATCTCTTCATTTGATAGCTACCTCCAGAATCTTATTTTCTGACTATTTTCCATTAAATGCTTCACTATATCTTGGGGGGAAAAAAAACCCAAGAGCTTTCCAAGGAGAAGTAAATGCTACATTTACTGTATGAGAAAGTGATGGGCTCAAGATGAGAAGGGGGAACTTGTCCTGGATTCTGGCCTCTGAGTCCAGTGTGATCTATCTTTCACAGTGACCAGTGGGAAGGCACAGTGCCAGGGACAGGTAGATGGGGACAGCTGTCACCCATCACATAAGCACCATAGAGAACAGTTGGCCAGATTTCTTTCAGACAGTGTCCATCTGAAGAAAACCAAATTTCTGCTACATTGACTTTTCTTTCTTTGAACCTTCAGCCTTCTCTTCTCAGAGGCAGAGCATAAGTGGGTCTCACCCTGAAATTATGAGGAACCAGAAAATCTAAGTGCTCTTCCAATGAACTTCTCCCTTGACTCACGGTGACATGCTAAATTCAAAGTTCAATTATAAGATTATCTAAAGGACAAGCCATTGGTTCCTGACTGAACTGGCAGATCCATTTATGTTCTTCCATTAGATCACAAAATAATGTAATAAGCTAAAACTCTGAACACAGATTGCAGCAGATGAAGTGAATGGAATGGGACAGAATACACTTCTTTTGCCTATAGCTTGAGAATCTTTGTCTTTTGTTGAGAGTAGGGGAAAAGGACAGGGACACCTGGTCAGATTTGGATTTGTTGAGCTGTTTCAGAAAGGGTTTTCTAGAGGTTTAAAAGGAATCAGCAAGCCAACCCAGTAGAGCAGAAAAACTTGACTGAAATTCACAGTTCTGACAGGGAATTCCTGCTAGGGAATTTGTTTCAATCCTCACTTAAGATAAAGTACCCAAGTCTATGTATTTCTCTTACCATTACTTCCTCATCCTCTTCCTCCACTCTCTTCTCAAAAATCTTAAAATCCAGTGTGGTATGATTTGCATAAAGTTCAATGAAGTTTCACAGTACTCCACAACATCCTTCTTCAGTACGAAAACACTAAGGTGCTAGCTACTCTTTTTGGATACGTACACGTCCCATAGGCTATTACTGCCTTTTTACTCTAACCAGTAACAGGAAGCCTTCAGTGAATTTTCTAAGGCATAGAAGGCATTTTCTCTAACTGACACTGTAGTATTTGCATGCTAAGCAAACAGCCAGGTCTTTATGCTGCTGTAATGAAGTGTCATAGTCTGATGCTAATTCAGTCATGTGCACTAAGCTACTGTGTCTTCAACCTACATCTTTTCTTCTCAAACACATCATTTGTTTGAAGTTCAAATGAACAATTATTTGTAGCAATACATGAACATTTTTACAGGGTCAAGAATTCTCCAGAAGGGAGTGTACTACATTTGAACTTGCTCTTTAACACTAATTTCTTTCATGAATTAGAAGTCACCTGGTAGCTAGTTAATTTGAACAGTGATGCTCACTTTTTAAGGATAATGGACCAATTCTCCTCTGCCTAGTACCAAGTATGAGGCTTAAAGGACAGGTAAGGAGCTCAGGAGACTGAAACTGTGGAGGCCATTAAAATATCTTTGCTACCTGGAATGGGAAGAATGGAAGATATAAAACCTCTTTGGGAATTACCAGGTTCGATCTTTGACACTATGGACCAATGACTGTAAAATGACTCATTTCACATTTCATAAAAGCTTCAGAAGTATTTAGGCTGTGGCTAGTGCAGTTCATTTACAATGAAATAATTAACAAAAAATGAAAGCCGCTTTACACTGAAATCTCACTTAGAAGACAAAGTATGATACAAATAATCAAATAGATCTTGATCACCTCAGGCAGAATCCTTCTTTTTTATCCATTAACTTTAACAATACTACTTGTTTATTTTACAAACAGAAATCACCCTAGGAGAGTTGGGCTTTTAATAAGTTCAGGTACTGCATTTCATCTAGCAGAGTTGAGAAACAAATACCTGTATCACATATACAAACCAAAGAAGGTTCTAGAGATTAGATTTTGAAAATTAAGTTTTGCTTACTTACACATACTTTGTATTTGGTATAGCGGGAAAACTGGATGGATGGCACTATCTCCTTCCAGAATTATTCTGATGATAGATGATCCACTCTGCCAACTGATCCTGCCCTATTAAAAACTTTAAATTCAGAGTCAATGCCTGGGATAGGAATAAAGATGTCATATCAAAAAGAGAACTAAGACCATTAAGGATTACCCAGGTAGCGATTCTCAACTTTGGCTGTACACTAGCATCAGCTGGGAGAATTTTTAAAGCCCAGGTTGCACAGCAGATCAATTAAATCCTAAAGTTTGGAAGTGGGCCCCATGCATCAGTACTTTTCAAAGTGCCCTCAGAGGATTCTAATGTACAGCTAAGATGGCAACCACTGACTTAGGCCAACTGGTTCTGAAACAGAAATAATAAAGACCAGTGTTCATCCAAGTCAGAGCAAAGAAAGGTGAGACTCCAAGGCTTCCTTCTAGACTGGGTGATTCAACATGCTTCTTTGAAATTACTATTTCTCACTTTTTTGTCTATATTGTTTTTAAATAAATCACTTTAGCCATAATGGGCAAAAACAATAACAACAGTAAATTACTGATTTAAGTAAGACCGCCCCTTAAGTATGTTATGGCAAAACATGTAGAGGGCAGACCTAGACAGGTCTCTGGGCACAAAAACAAAAGCCAGAGGGAAGAATGTTCCAAAGCAGGAGTTAATTCCTGAGTCTAGGATATTAGCATGGCTTATAGGTTGACAACTATTCTACAGTTAGGAAAAAATATAGATGTGATAAATAGATTCACGTAATTTTACTGCCTCATCTCCAAAGATACATACTGTATTCAGGCAAAGGTTACTATATAAATTGTTCTATCAGTAATGCTTGTCTCAGTATTTGAAATTTCACATTCTCAGTTTTGTGACTTGCCCTATACCCAAAGTCACCAGGAAGGAAATACTTAGTACCTAAGACATAGGTATAGGTGCCAACCTCTAAAAATCTGAAAATGGGTCATTCTCTCATTTTCACTCTTAACCAGAGTTCCTGTTGAGATATTTTACAACCAGCCAATATATTAGAATGAAAAGATGAAAGCATTCCAGGATAACTGTTAAAAGGGCCAACAGTCCCTCCTCAGCTGTAACAAATGGTAAAATAAGTAACCCTACTTGGTTCAGTGTACTGACTAGTGCCCCAAATGGAAGATCAGGTGAATGCTATGGCAACTGGATTTAAAGACTAGGGGGTGTGCATAGTGGCATTTTACTACTGAAATGGAATTTTCTGATATCTACTACATTCAAGAGGGGCTATCTTGACTATGACAACAGTATTTACATTAAAAATAAGATT